CCAGAGGTCTTCTATCCTGGGCACCTTTGTTCTCAGCATACTGACCTGGCTCAGTTATGAAAGCAGTTCTTCTATGTCTGCTGCCTGTAACCTCAGCTCATGGGACTTTGGGACATCTCATGGTCATAATATGAGTGCCAATTCCTTATAAATGTAAATGTAAATATGTATATTTTAGGTAATATTCCCTGGATAATTAGGACCATTGTTATCATAAAGCAGAGGGTTTGCAAATTTACCCATCAGAGCTAACTGAAATGTTAACTTGAAAGAGCACTGGACACATGGTGAACAAAATGGAAGAATGGAAAGGACTCTTCAGCAAGCCAGGCATGCCTTGACAGAGCTAAGAAAGGAAACTGGTTCTGGGATTTTTTTTTAATTGGTTGGGGGGGAATTATTCTGACCGTGGCTTGTGCGGTTTCAATCTCCCAATGACATCTAAGGGGAGAGCACACTTCCTTATCAGATTTCCCATGAAGGGGTAGATGGAGAAGAGACAGGAATGACCCATCAATTGTCAGCCGTGAAACATGAAAGAAAATAGGGTCTGACTACCAATTCCACCTAATGAGTATAAAAAAATGAACAGAGATGAGGTAAAGAGTAACTATGTATAGAAAATGAAAAGTATAAGTAAGCAATGATGATGAAGATAAGAAAGATGATAATGGTGCTGGGCTGTGACAAGGATATTGGTCTCATGAAATTAAAGCTCCTCATCCAGACACAAGATCACCAGGAATCCTCCAGGCAGAGATGCCTTCTCTTTCCTGTAACTGGTGAGATATTTCATGAAAGGATCCCCCATGAATTATTCAGCTTCTGTGATCTATAAGGTAACCAAGTCAGTAAAAATACCAAAAAGTGTCCAAGTTTGACTATCTGGGCCTGTAACATTATTACCTTATTTAATAGACACATCTTGAGAATGTGTATGTGGGTTACAAGGAATCCTCTTTCCACCTGTGTGCAATGACATGTTTCTTATTTCTTTTTATTTCTGCCTGCAGCTTCTAAAGTTCCTCTTTCTAACCAACCTGAGTTTATAATGGCTTAGGTATTCTCTAAGATGATATAGCCTGTCTCTATCATGCCCTGTTTTTCCTTCTGGGTGTTTGCTTTAAAATTCTTTAAACCCATATATCTAGTTTCAGTTAGTTCATTAAAATGGAACATATTCCTGTATGTCACTCAAACAATGTCCAGCATACTCTCCTTTGGACATGGTTACAAAGTTCTTTTTAGATTTCTTGGGAAATTTTCCAGCAGCAACTCCCCTCTTGGTACTAGAACCTGTTCTCAACCTTAAGGCTGCTATAATAAATGAACAAATATGATGTAGCCTGGCCTATTTCTAGGGATGTTTTTTAGACACTCACCACATAAAACATTAAAATAGTGATGAATTAATTGACTTTTATTACAATTACAAATATATTTCCCACCAAACCACCAGGATTCCACTAAGGGAATTAAATGACAATCCCAGACAGAGAATATGTTTCCAAGTCATATGTCTGATGAAGGGGTTTATTATACCTTAAGAATGTTATATGTCCTTTGGGAGAGACCATCACCCTCTGACTACAGTGACTATCCCCAGAAACAGGGCCAAGGGAGGCTGAGAGTAAGGGATTCCTGTCAGGGTTTAAACTCTCTTTCCTGGAAGCAAATCTGTGCTAGGAATTCTTTTTCATTTCTCTCCCTCTGAACCCCAACCTCTCTGACCACACTACCCTGAGAAAACAGGTAAATTAATCTGCTGCCATAGTCATTTCAACATTTGAAGAATTTTGAGTTGTGTACATACATAATCACTGTGTTCATTTCTCATCTTTTCTACATGTAAAAACATGGTCATTTCTGATAAGATTAGTTTGGAGTTTCTGCAGTGTGCCCTGGGGTCTCAGAAGGGAAGGCTTCACACAGAGCTGTTGACAGAATTCCAAAATGTCCAACACCATTTATCAACAATGCCCCAGCTGTCTGTACTAAGGATGTAGTTCTTCAGATGAAAATAACCACATACAGTCAGAAAATATAACATTGAAAATAACTCTGCATTAAGCATTGTTTAGTTTGTACCGCAAAATATATATTTTAATATTTAAATTATGACATAAAATTTGGTAATTTTTGATATACTAGAGTTTTGGGTTTCAGGAATTCTCTGGATAAATGTAAATAAACATTTTTAATCTGTCTGAAACGTGCATGAGGATTTGAAAGGGTCGCCGACAAATCTAGTGCAGCATTTCTTCTTATGCTCAGTAGGGCAAGGCGATCCTTTTAATTAATTCCAATATGTATCATAATCAGTGATCTACTCTCCTGGACTTGCGTGTTCATTGAGTTCCAGGGAATAGATGCCTCCAGATATGTCCCAGATTGACCAGGGTACTTGACCTCAGTCCCTCCTTACTTATATAAACAGAATCCCCCACAAGCAAATTTCTCTTCCAGCTCCACGACACATCCTACTCTGGACTGTTGGGCCTCCCAGCTCTCTCTCCACATGGGGCTGAGGTCTCAGGAGAAGGCAGAGCTATGCTCTAGATGAAGATGAGACTGCTGTGTCACCTCCTATGCCTGGTGACTGACAACAAGGGTTAGTGTCTCAGCTGTCAGATGAAGACCTATGGGATAGTGGTGAAGTAACATGGCTGACAGGGACTGATGCACCTTGTCCCAAGGTGTCCTGTCCCCGGTGCAGCTGAAGGAGTTGGTCCCAAGAGAGGTGATGGCTTTGGGACCCTCTTCCTCATTGACACTGTCTCTGAATTTTTCTTAACAGGTTCTTATGTGCACTGGACCCACCAGGCTCCAGGGAAGGGTCTGGAGTGGGTCAGTGCCATAAAGGGTGCTGGAAGCACAAACTCTAACCAACACTCAAACCCTGACTCAGCAGCACTAGGACAACTCCAATGGGCATACTTATTTTACACTGCACAGCCTGAGTCCTGATTACACAGTAATGTATATGTGTAAGAGGCACAATGAGAGGAAGGTCAGTGTGAGCCCAGAAACAATCTTCCCTGTGGGAGACAGGGGGCCTGGGCTCTAGGAAACACTGAGGACACCGGGTGATCTTGCAGACAATTTTTCTCCATTTTTTTTAAATAACTGATGGCAAATAGTGTTTTATGTGGGAACGTTCTTGACATACATTTACTAAAGAAAAAAATATTTAGTTGCCTCACCAAATTACTCTGCACATATACTAAGGAGTATATTTGTTTGACACAGGTCCCAAGGGTGATAATACATATAATCACAAGGTCAACAGAGGATAAATGTGCACAAACTGAAATAATGTGGTGGCAAGTTTAACTGGCACATGCTTGATAAATGCAGCAGAGACCCAAGGTCCTGTAGAAATAGGAACTTTCTCAGTACTTTTAAGTGGGGGCCACATGTGACATTCCCCAGGCAGCAAAAACAAAAACAGATGTTCTTGTCTGTCTCTGCAACTAAGTGAGAACTCAGTGCCTGCTGGGCTGCTGGATTTGAGGACATGGAGTCCACATGTGGGACCTCAACACACATCCTTCATGCCTGACGCTTGAGGAGACCGTATTTGGAAGGGATGCTGAGAAGTGACCAGCAGTGTCTGTATTCTCACTAGTGATGACATTGTCAGTGCAGAAATGTCCATGAGAGTTGAACCTGAGGCCAAGGTGCAGGAGGAGGTGGTGGTTAATGTAGCAACTGACAAGTGCATCTGTTGGTCATAGAGCAACAAGTCTGTCTCTATCTAGGATTATGTGGTAAGGTCCATAACGCAGATGGTAGAAAGAATTATAATCACCAAGATGGGACATCCAGTAAGGATAAAAATCCAGCGTGCCCCTTACAGAACTGTCCCCACTCACCTAACAAGAAATGCCGAGACCTAAAATCTATGTGGGGGTCCTGCCCTTGTAGAAGGAAAAAGGGAAAAGAAAAATGTGGTGTCCATTCACTTGAATATCTGCACTGTGTTTTTGTGCATGTGATATATTAAGCAGTAGGTGTGCAGTGGAATTAGGACCACATGCAGGGATATTCTGATGGGAAATTCAAGTAGAGGAACTGGAGCACATTAGCGGCCCCCAAAGCCCCTGAGAGCTTCTGGACTTATAGTTGTTGGCTGTATCTGTAATCTGGAAGCTCCAGGGAAGGGGCTGCCTGGGGATTGATAGAGCACTGGTTACTGGGCTTCACGTAGTGTTTCTGGGGATTATTACACAGAATTACCTGTGTCCAGTGATATAGAAGCAGTTGGTGTCCCCGAAGAAATATCCTGAAGTTGGCATTCAGCCATGACAAGTCCATAACCTGTGAGCCCAGACAGGATCCCCCATTGCAGGGAAATGGCTGGGGAGCAGAAAACATGTGGGAACCACAGGTTCAGGGACAGTGCCCTAGTAGAAGGTGCAGAAGGAGCTGCTGCAGGATCTTCTCTGAGGGACTGGGTCTTCGTCTTCTCAAAAACATCTAAATAAAATTGGACATGTGGTGTTTGTAAATATCCTACTCCATCAGAGAATTTACCAGAATCAATAATACATGAGAATTACAGTCAATGATGGTATTTCCATGGCTTCTTCATATCTGAGTTGTAGAGCTCTGGGGAAAGGCATGATTTTATCAGCAAATAGGGGCAGACATTTGGAGCCAAACTAGCCCAGCAAAAGGACATGCAGGTATTAAAGCCAGACAAGTCCAGATTTTCTGTGTGTCAATCAAAGGTGGGTTCACAATGAGGAGCATGTCTTGTGGGGGCTTGTTCCTCCATGGGAGGATCTATGTCTGCAGAACTCAGGAACATGACAGAGGATTTATAACAGTAATGCACACCTGAACCCTGATTTTCCCACTAAGCTTGGTCTTTGTGTCCTCTATATATTCTCCCAGGTGGAGTCAAATAATCACCTATGAAGTGCTCTGCCTCATGGCTATGCAAATGAGGAGTGGTAGACTAGGTTAAATATGGGCCTGTCTGTACTGTGAGGCATCACCCACAGCCACAACATCCCCTACAGAAGTCCTGAAGGTCCATCCCTTCACAATGGACTGGAGCTGGGGAGCCCTCTTTCTGGTGGCAGTGGCTACAGGTAATGGGGTTCCCAGTCTGAGATATGGGGAGGAAACCAGGGGCAGTCAAGGGACATTTCAACCCACTCCTCTCTCTTCTCCACAGGTGTCCACTCCCAGGTGCAACTGGTGCAGTCTGGGTCTGAGGTGAGGAGACCTGGTTCTTCAGTGAAGGTCTCCTGCAAGGCTTCTGGATACACCTTTACAAGCTACTGGATGAGCTGGGTCCGACAGGCCCCAGGACAGGCCCTTGAGTGGATAGGGATGGTCTATCCTGGTGATGGTGATGCAAGGTACGCACAGAAGTTCCAGGGAAGAGCCACCATTACTGCAGAAAAATCCACAAACACAGCCTACATGGAGCTGAAGAGCCTGAGAACTGAAGACACAGCCCTGTATTACTGTGCAAGAGACACAGTGAGGGGAAGTCAGTGTGGGCCCAGACGCAAACCTCTTTGGGGGACACAGGAGGTTTGGGCAGCAGGGGGCACTCAGGTCCCAACGACCACAGAGAACAAACCCAGGAACAGGTGTGGGTCTGGTGGGGAAGGAAGGGGCTTCCCTTTGGGAGCGAGGATTTCCTCTCAGTGCTCTCAGCTGCATCCCGTGATGCATCTTCTTTCTTTGTATCTCTGATTTCACACATTCTCAGGTCAGACAGCTAAGGAGCAAGGGATACTGCTTGCAGGTGAGAATCCACCCCATGTCTGTGGTCATTTCCTTCACCACACTCCTGTACATCCTTTTCCTTCCTTGGCAATGAACCTCCCTGAGTGTTCTCATCTCCCCTCTTCTTTGAAACATCTCCCACTAAGATGGGTGCTGCTCTGTCCAGGCCCCTGTGTGCTGAGCTCAGCCTCTCTGTCCCCTAACATGCACACTATGTCCTCACATGTCTCCCTCCTACAGACAGGCACACCTTGCACTGAAGTCATTGTGATCATCCCCTAAGACCTCCACCTGTCAGGTGTCTGTCCTCCTTGCCACACATTACCCTCTTGTTCCTCATTCACTGGATGTGGAAACGCTCCCCAACATAACCCGCTCTTACCTATGGACCTAATTATCCCTAACTCTAACCTTTACTTTTCCAGCTCTTCCCTGCTCCCCCCACGTGACCTGTCACAGCAAGAAGTTTAAATAAGAGTGTGCACAGTCATGTGTACCAATGAAATCCCCTAAAGTCTCTCAAATGTGTCTGTCTATCAAAGGCTCCACTGGACTTTGCATTTGTGGGAATTTTTGGCTCCTAAATTGCATAGGACATGCCTGTGTGGCATGGAGAAAACACATAATTTTCAAAGAGTACCCACGGACATGGACAACAATGATGTGACTGCTGAAAGGATGGTGAGATAAGGGGCTTTAATGGTAATGGGAAAATATGATAATAATTGAATATAATAATTTAAAAAATAAAGTGCTAATGCATACAAACTTTTTATTTTTATTAATTTCATATTGCATGGAAAGTTACTATTTTATTGGAAACACTTTAGATAACAAAGGAGACTGGCTGTCCAGCCCCACGATCCTGCTGTGAGGATGTTGCTTGGAACTCAGGTGGCTCATCCTGCACACTTTGTGCCCCTCTCTGAAAAGTGCAGGAGTGGTTGACAGGAATGACAATGCATGGATTCCCTCAGAGGGCCACAGGCGCTTGTGATCACAGTCCCTCTTTTACATCAGAATGTCACTGATGGATTGCAGCCCAAGCATGCGGAAGTGTGCTCTCCAGGTTGGCACAGGTGTCACTAGGCTGACAGTGGGCCACACACTCAGCCCACCACACATTGTGATGTACGTGGGGAACAAACTCTCTTGGTAGGAAGGAGTGCCACTGTTGCCCTGAACCTGATGTGTTAGAGAAGAAATGGCTGCCTACAGACTGAGGAGGGCCTCAGTCCTCAGGGTCATGATTGTGGGGACCCTTCAGGAAGTGGCCATAGAGGAACCTGAGACAACAGTCCCTAATCACCGGATGGGAGGCAACAGGTCCAGACCAGCTGCTGACCTGGTCTCTTTTGAAGGCCATAGTCTTGGGCCCAGGGAGGGCTCTCAAAAACTTGCAAATGCTATAATAATACCATCATGTAGTTTTCAAGATTTATGTTGATGAGCTCGGGGAAAATACCTGTTTCTCTCACTGCCCTGTGATGCACTGCTGGGTCCCATTCAAACATGGAGAATTGTGGATGTCAGCTCTGCAGCTGGTTGAGGTGATTTTTTTACAGATGTTTCTTCTTTGTTTCCTGTACTTACAGAGCAGTCAGGAAGCTTCTTAGTTTTCAACATCTGTCACTTCCTTTACTGCAGGGATCTCAACAGTTTACACATTGGTGGTCACCCAGAAGAGTTTGGCAGCTAAGAATGCACCCATGTGCCCAAAACTATCCTCAACTATACCACAGACCTATCACTTTGTGCCACTGCCCACAGTCTTCTTGGAGGTGGTCCATTGCTCACCCTTCCCCTGGCATCTCTCTGTATGAACCATAAAGGGCCCTAACCTACGTGGAAATGACAATTCTTTTTCTTGCTGCATTTACAAAGTAGATGCATAGATTAGAGAAGCCCCAGGAACAATGCATGAGTTGTTGACACAAAACTGTGTACTACCACAGAGTGTACCAGGTCCCGCATGACCAAGATCAGGTGTCTCTGTCCCAAGATGTAACTCCACCCTAAAACAAAAGGACCCCTCTATCAGAGACACATGGAATCCAACATGTTCCTGTTAGTGAGGCAGGTGGTGACACTGGCACGCTGTCGGCATCTACAGCCAAAATCAGAGTCAGCACACTCAATAGTTTGTGGGATTAATTACTTCTACATTGTCCAATCAGTGTCCTTTTGTATTTATGCTATATCTTCTGTCTGGACCATTCATTGCACCTTCACCAATGTACTCCATGCTGTGTGTAGAGTGGTCAGTACCATTTCCATGACAGCAGAAGCCATTTGGTGCACAGGCTTCCATGTTGCAGGTAAACATTTCAGAGCACATGGAGTTTGGCCCAAGGTTGTACTCTGGAAGGTTACATGAGTTTTTGATTGGCCTTAAGAGCATCCGCAGGGGTGAGTAGGTGCAATTTCTGCAACACCTGCCTGTGTTACAAAAGCATTTCCTGATGTTAAGCTGCAGTCACTTCTGCAGCACAGGTTTCTGTCTCAGTGCTTGAAGGAGCCACAGTCAAAAAGCTCTCCATGATCCACCACAGATTTTTGACATCAAGCAAATATCACACTTTTATTTGAATACTTCGATTTACTCTGGGAGCTTCAGTGTTTTCAACTTAATTAACTATATTTTTAGTACGCACCTTGGAACAGTTACTGAAGGTTTCTATCAACACAGGATACCTATCCCAGACACGGGTGACCCTCTTCTGGCAAACAGAAGTTTCCTCATGACAAAACAGAACAACACTTCTTAAGATTCATTGGCTGGCTATAACTGATAACAATAAATAGTGTTTTGAGAGAACGCCCAGCAAGAGGAGGCTAGTGTTTTAGCATAGACCATATATAAATAACGTTAAGCCAAGTTTATGGAACACAATTCTAATCACAGTTAAGGGTTAATTTGGCTCAAGAAGAGTATCAATATTGGTTACAAAATTGTCAGAAAACAGACTCCCAGGCACCACTTAGTTATCCATGGCAGTTGGATATATCACATTCTAATTGATTATAATGCCCTTGTAGCACCTTTCCTGAATAATTTGTTTCATGGAGTCAAGTGAACTACCTAGACTTATCAAAACTTGGACACATTTTTGACATATTGCTGTATATACTGGGAACTCATAAGACAACCTTTTACATTTCTTTGGTGGTCTTCATAGAACTCACTGTTGATCCTGGAGGCTGCACCGGTATTTGCTTGAGAGATTGGGTGGGGGGCTCTATGTATCCCAGTGTATACATTGGTCCCATTGCATTGGAGCCTGCCACTGTCTGAGAACTTGGATGCAAGTTCTTCATACCTTTCAGGCCACCATAACATATGTCCACGGTGACTGTAGAGAAAGGAACTCATCCAGAGAGCAAAGGTAGTAACAGTTGAGGAGAACCAAGGCATACTCCATGTGCAAAGCTCCTTGGTCAACCTGAGTCATCATCAGCACTTGTTGGGGCCAAAACCTTTTCTTGTGCCACATGCAGATGAAGTGCATCTGGCCCCCAAAACTCAGTCCGTAGGAGAGCAGCCTTACTGTGGTGGAGATCCTTCCTGGAATCACAACCTCAGACGACATGTAGCACAATGAAGGATGGTTTTCAGAATGCTGAAAGGGCTGGTGTCACCCAGAGCCCAAGGAAGAAGAGGGATGTTCTCAGAATGACTGGTCCCTCTGGCAGCCTCACGTCCCTGCTCTGGGACAATTGTCAGTGGGAATGGAGAAAGGGAGGATCCTCAGTGGAGCCTGGTCCAAACCATTTCCATCGTCCACTGGTTACACAGGAGATTGTTACAGAATATGTACCCTGGGTGGGGAAGCTGAGGGGACTAGGTAAGAGACACAGGGTGTGTGGCAGAGGGTGAGGCTGTACATGAATCCATCTGGGAAGTCAGAGTGAGCCCAGTGACCTGCCTGAGGAAAGAGGAGAGCAGGGTGACAGAGGGTACTTAGGACTCCAGAAACCTCTGAGAAACCAAGGTGGAACTCAGGACACTAGGATTTTTTCAAGACACCAGGGGGCATCAATGCTACTATGTGGAGAGGCCCAGCTGAGGAGATGGCTCCTAGGGATTGCAGATGCACTTCCTTTTGTGGTCAACGATCACTCCCCTTTTATTGCCCCCTCAGTCAATTCCCAATTATTTTTATGTGTCCTATAATTTCTTACATTCTCTGCTTCAATAAAGTAACAAAGAACTGTGTTTGCAGTGGCTTTCTGTTTAAATGTGTCCACACACAGGGGACTGCAGAGCCTGCTCAGCCAGGCTGACCTGGGAAATACCTGTCCCCTTCCTCTTCTTCCTCCCTGTGCTGGGTCTCTCATGGGGTCAGTGATGGGAGACCTGAAGGCGCACAGCAGTATTTACAGAGACAGGGAGTCATTAACTTTTTTTGCTTTTTTGTCCTCAAGTGTTCATTCTCAGATGCAGCTGTAGGAATCAGGCTCCAAGGAGGTGTAGACCTGGCAGACCCTGTCTCTCCCCTGTGCCATCTCAGGGTACAGTGTCTCTCCAGTAACAGTGCTGCTCAGAGGTGTCTCAGGCAATCCCCAGGGAGAAAGTTCCAGTGGCTGGGAAGGACATGAAATGCAGCCCCAAGTGATAAAGTGATCACGTACATTTATTAAAGATTGATCAGTCATCAACCCAAACACATTCAGCAACCAGTTCTCCCTAAAGCTGAGTTCCATAAGCACCGATGGCATAGCCGTGTGTTACTGTGCTAGAGACACTGTCAGGGGGCA